TATGTATGTATGTATGTATGTATGTATGTATGTATGTATGTATGTATGTATATATGTGTTTGCATATTTTTTTTAAATTAAGCAATTGCAGCAAAAATGGGCAAGGAAATATACTCAACTGTTTTCTCCATTTGAAGTTCTAGATAATCTTTTTGCAGGAATAATGAAGAAGAGGAGCCCAATTAGTAAAGCCACTGTTGAATCTGTAGCAAAGCCTGGATATCTAAGGAAAGAGATATTTACTTAGAAAATAAATATTACAAGTCTGGGAAAAGAATTTGGTGATTTTTTTTTATCTCTGAAGTAATACTACAGCAGCCTAAAGGAATTCAGATGTAATTTTATAAATTTCAATCTTTTAAATAAATCATTTGTATAGTTCATCTTTTGACCTGCCTGAAAATATATATGGGGTTTCCACCTACCAGAATTTCCACCAACAAATTCTGTTAATGTTTGTTAGAGAAATTACAGGTGCTTACATACGGTATGTGAATATATGTAGAAAGATACTGTACTAGGAAGAAAAACAGATTGTTTCACAAAGTATCTTGTTAAATATCTGACATGTTCACAAATATCTCTACCAACTTTTTAAGAATGGGCAAATCTGACAATATGATTTTCTTGTAGTTGCTTACTTTAATTCAGAAGTTTAGTTCATCTTATTCCATTTTTTCCAAAAAAAAAGTTTTCGCTAAAATTTGATAAATATTTCTGCATATGTATCAAAATTCACTCTTAGTTTTTTCAAATGTTTCTAGCACTCAGTATCTGCAAACAAATTTCTCTTAAATACCATATCTTCCCAAATATGCTTTTTAAATCCTTTTTTCTTTAAACCTCAGATGTACAACATTGTAAACAGATGGTTAAAAATTATGTTCAGCTTGTAGCAAAAGGTAGAAAATGGTAACTATACTTAAACTTGACATATTTGCTAAAAGCAACCCAAGATAAAAAGAATGTCTTTGTTTACAGCATATTTCTTTTGTGGGAAAGACAGACTCCTGGATTTTCTTAAACTTTAGTTATCATATGATGCTAGGGTCTTAAATCAGCTTTATCACTGGGCATGTATTTTGTCTTCAATTTGTTTATCAAATGCTGGTAATATTTTTTTTTAATTATTCATTATTGGCACAATCCTCACAATCCATAATAAAATCCACAATTGCATTCTACTACCATGTAGCTCTCTTTGCTATGTTGATTGGGGCATAAGTCTATTTTTAGTCCCAGTTCTTTTTGTTTTGTTTTTTCTTGCATTATAGACAGTTGACTGAGATTCTGACCCTTTTATTTGATTCATTTATTTATACAATGTATAGGCTTCCTGTCTCACAATGATTCTGGGCAGCTTACAATCAAAAGTTAAAAATAAGTACAACATGCACAACAGAGAATCACAAATGGCCCCCAAAACAACAACATCTAACAGAAATTCCACCAATAGGCTCAATCTTCATTCTGCTCCAGAGCCTGGTAGATCTTTACTACCTACTTGAACCATCCAGCAGTCCAGAGGCAGGCACTGTGAGTCTGTGACAGAAGGCATACTTCCTGGACCCAGAAAATGACTCTAAAATAATGAGAGCTGGAGCAACCTCACTCTGCCCCACCAAACCAGATGGGTAGAAACAAATGGAGACAGGCAGTCCCTCAAATAAACAGGTGCTATTTCACAAAGACTTTTTCAGGTGATAAATAACATTTGTATTGCAGAAGACAACACATCTATTAACACTGCCCATATGACCATCCTTATAGATATGAAAAACTTTGTTTTATATCAACTTCTAGTTCCCTGTTTGAAAATAGCACATAAAGCTGGTGTTGTTGTTACAATCTTGGACAATTTAGCTATTAATACTTTAGATTAATTTATTGCCAATCAATTTTTCAAACTACTTGTATCACTGCAGATTGAATTTTGATTGCCTAAAACAAAAAAGGTTTATATATAACTAAAATATCTCTTGATATTGCAATAGACTTGGATGTGTTGGCAATTTTTAAAATTCCTGTATTACTACTATATTATATAAATAATTTAGATAATTTAAAACTCACCACATTTTTAAATGTTATATATTAATTTCTGCAAATAATTATTTTGTATAGAGAGTTGAGGCACCTTATATTTGTGAATCAATGACAAAGGGATTTAAAATTGTAAGCATATTTCCTATGATCTTACAATAAGATTAATTCAACAAAATCTTCTTGTTCTTGGTTATTGGACTAGCCTGAGAATACTTTAAAAAGGCTAGCTTAATTTCATTAACTTAGAAGTGCAAGGACACGTGCAAATGATATGGGTTTGTTCTATTAATGTTCTGTTTGGGGTTGTAATCCATATGATTGTTAATATGGGGACACCAGAAAATTTTGAGGAAGTGAATGTATTTTTTATTATAAATTAAAAATATAGATCTATTGATATATGAACTATAGATTTCTTAAGGTTAGGAAGGAGTGAAAAATATTTCCGCTCAATAGGTAAAGATAAAGCTAGCAAAGATGTATAATTTGGTTTTTTTAAGTGGGTGTTTTTCATAATGAAAAGATAGAGAAATATTTCATGTGATTTGTTTACAAAATTATGTGAATATTATGTAATAGATTATGGTTTGCTTGTTCCTTCCTTCTATATTTGTTTTTTTTTAAATTATCTTTCTGTCATATTTTTAATTAAAAAAGCAGTGTTATAAAAAACATTTCAGTATTATATTTTCATCTGTCATAAACTATAAAAAAACTCATGTAAAAGAAGCATCATTATTTAGTAAAGCTTTTTAAAAAGGAATTGTAAAAAACGGTATTGTCAGTAACTATAAAAAGGCGATAGCTTCTGGCAAACATCCCAGAAAAATCCTTCCTGGCAAAAGAAAATCTATAGGATTATATGAGCCTAGTTTGAGTTGACTCTGAGTGCATCCTCTGAATTGAAAAGCTCCACATTTTTCTTTTCTTTTCTTTCTTTTTGTTTTGCCAAAACCTAGCTACAAAGGGATTCTTCACAACTAACCAATCAGAGGCAGAAAAAAATGCAAATTCTTCTTATTAACAAGAAACAAAGCGACCAAACTCATAGCAGACACTGAAGATTAAAGAAGTAACTAAATAGTTTAAGATGTAGCAGAAACAAGATGCCTCTATTTTATCAAATTCTTCTGAATTCTCTGTCATATCTGACAGAGATAAAAAAATCTCAGCAAATACGCAGAAGCTTTTAAAACAATAGCAAGACCTTGACAACTCTCTTAGTAGCCCTATTTTAGCATCACCAGAGCTCTTTAGGACTAAAGGCTGCCCAGCTTTCCTTTAGGTATTGTGGCATAAAATATGTAAAACATATTCTTGGATAATGAGTATTCTGCAGTGTCTATAAAGAAAAACTAATGGGAAACCTCACATGAACTATTCTGTATGGGGTTCTTATAATCGTATGTGTTGCCATGGAAATTTCCTGGAACTAAATGTAAATAATGTTTGAAAATAAAATCTGCAAAGAATATTTTATGTGTACACACACACATAAAAAAAACCTTCAAATTTAGTAGCATATACGAATCAGCCAAACACCTGAATGGATTCTGAGTTTTCGCATGAAATTTCATGCCAGAAGCAGAATATAATGGATATTCAGAATGGTTAGAAAGAAATTATAACTGTGGTGAAAATCTAACAGAGAAAAATAAAAACGTAAGAAGGTATGATTATATTTCAGGTTAAAAAAAAAATGACTCTTATGTAATGTTTATTTAACACTTCCAGCTTTAAAAAAAAAAAAAAAAAGATAGTGATTCTTCAAGTTGAGCTAAGCAAACTGGATATCCCACTCTAGATGCAAGACTATTTGGATGAAAATGACCTAAATAGACATAGCTAAAGTGTCAGCTATTCAGATTCCTACAATATTTTAGCATATACATAACTTGATTCATTCAATCATTTTTGGCAGTGGAATAAAAACTTAGAATTTCATTCCTTCCACTTCTAGCCTAACACTTAACCATCACCTTTCACTGGCTCTTGTCTTTGTATATTTTTAGAAAGATCGATAACAAGCACAACTTCTATGATGCTGGTGGCATTCTGAAAACCAGCGGGAAATGTGTGTTTTTTTTAAAAGGCATTGATCCTTCCCCTACACATTCTAATAGATGTTTGCAGAAATATTTGGTACTATGATCCGGACTTATCCATATATAAAAATATAGAACCTTCTAAAAATTGTGCAAGATGGCTTATTGACTTACTTTGGAAATAAAGAAGACCAGCCAGGGATGAATCCAGGGTCTCTAGTAAACCATAACAGGGCCATCAGAAAGAACAAGACAAGGGTGACAACTTCAGGGTAGCTGCAACAAAAACACCATGTGTTGACCATCACCCTTTGAAGTGATTCACTTTGATAGTATTGTAATATTTCTTTGATAGCATTTGTAATATTTCTTCTGTAGATGAGCCAAATGCATTTGTTGCATTTACCTTATTGATCCAAGTTTCTTGTATTCTTCTTTGATTACTTGTGCTGAAGCTTGTTCTCTAGGTGACTTTGCCTTGCCGCACTGGAACATTTCTTTCAAGCTGAAATGAAAAGTGAATTGATATAACTTGTTATAATACCTGTTCACCAGAAGATAGGTTCTACTTCTGATGACTGATCCAAAGAACTTCTCGAGGACTGGGTTGGTTTTCTTCCTTGGAAAGATCTCATGGGCAGTCCAAGTCCAACATAATGAGGAGAATGCCACAATATCATATACAAAAACTGACCTGCCTGGGAGAGCAATCTTACTTCAATGTGAATAATGGACCCTCTATCTTAGCTATGCAGCAAGGCAGCTATTAGATCACTGGGCAGGATGGTTTGCAGTTATAACACTTAGCTCCAATACTTTACTACTGTTCCTTGGTGTAGCATACTGCCTGAATCAGTTGTCACACTTTTCCTAATAGTAGGGGTAGTGCTGATTTCCCCACTCTGCTTTGCATCCTAATTTTCCAATTGCATATCAAGATAATATAATCCACATTATTATTTTTTCTTGAACCCTCAAGCTATTTGCCTTCACTGAAGCATATTATATCCATTCAGAATTGTAGCTGAGCAGAAAGATATATAAGAAAAATATGTATTTTCCTTCACTTTTCTATGCCTTCATTTTTCTTCTTCCTCTATTGTTTTCTCATATTTATTTTGTACATATGCTCCTTGGGGGCAAGGATTTGTTATTTTTACTCATTGTAAACACATCCTTACACAAGACGATAATATTTTGGATTCTTTTCCCATAAGAGTACTTACTTGAAACCCAAAAAAAGCCACAGAAGCCAAACCCAGGAGAGTATTAAAATAATAACAGTGACTGGTATGCAAAGAATAAACCAGGATCCAAAATTAATGCATTGGCAACCAGGATATCGTCTGAAAAAAATAAAAATGAAATTTGAATTGGCTTTGAGTATGAATAGAAAGATGTTTCTTAAACCAAGATCCACAATGGCTACACAAATGATAAACCTTAATATAAAATCTATCCAGCTTTCATCTTAATAGATAATGACTCTCCAGGAAGTACAAATGGAGTATTCACTATCAGCAGTTTAGAGTCTTGTACCAATTGGCCAATGCATGGTGGATTGGAGTATTTTAGAATGCTCCAGTCATTGAAGCAGAGATGATTTCTTTTAAAAGTGTCTTCTATCAGTTAATTAAAATTCTTCTAGATAACACTTTATATGAAGATGGGTTTTATCTGTTATCAACATACTTTATAGTGGAAATGGTATTCTATTAATTTTTTTACAGTAATCATTGTTAGTTGTGTTGATTAATGTATATGAGAGGAAAAATACAAGAAAAGATCTTTCAACAGAAATCCATCATCTTCAGCCCTGGAAGTTCCAAATATTGAACTACATGGATCTTTGGCCAGCAAGCATAATTGTAGTCAAAGCTTTAATATCTTATTCAGGGTAAGTCTCATATGATCTTCTCAGCACAGTAATTAACACCCCTTGAACTCCAACAATCAGTAGCTTAACAAATGCAGATATATATTTGTTTCATCATCTGAAAAGTTTTGGATGATTTTTATTAAACTCTTTTTGGAACAAAAGATTCAGTCCTTATTTGACAGCTATAAATTAAGAAAAAAAAGGTATTGTAACCTTTTTATTGTATTAGCTGTTCTATCGAAACTTTACACGTAGTCTTCGACTTACAACAGTTCATTTAGTGACCGTTCAAAGTTACAATGGCACTGAGAATATTCACTTATGACAGTTTTCACACAACATTTGCAGCATCCTGATGGTCACATGGCTCATATTTATGATGGTTGCAGTGCCCTGTGGTCATATGATCACCTTTTGTGACCTTCTTACAAGCAATGCCAATGGGAAATCCAGATTCACTTAACTATATTACTAACTTAATAACTGCAGTGATTCTCTTAATAATTGGGACAAGAAAACTGATAAAATGGGTCAAAATTCACGTAACAAATGTTCAACTTAGCAGCAGAAATTTTGGGCTCAACTGTGATCGTAAGTTGAGGACAAGTTGCATGTTATTTCCTTGAGACCATTAAACCAATTAATTTTATCTGATAAGACAAAATGCTCTGGGCAGCCATGGTGATGAATTCAGTTGCAATGGGAAAGATCAAGTGCACAGTAGATGAGAATCAGAGTGATAGAGTGATTAAAGGTGCTAGACTTGAAGTGGGTAGATTTCTATCTTCCCTTGGGCTTAAAGCCAGCTTCATGACATTGACCCAATCAATCTTCCTCAACCTTAAATTAGAAAGTTGAAAAATCTTCCAGAAGAAGATTGATTTTCTCCAAGTATTTTGTCAAAAATCTTCCAGAAGATTTTGACAAAATACTTCAAGAAAATTGCATGATCCTATCCATTTTGTCATCAGGAGTCTACACTGGTCATATCAACAAATATATATATACTTCAACTTTTGGTTCTAATTATAGGGGAGTAGTAGTACAGGATTCTGAATTTCTCTTATTAACTTAGATTGGTCTGCTGATGTCATACTTCATCAGGACATTTTCATGCCTTCAGAAGCCTTGGATGCTTTTGGAGTGTTGGAGTAGGGCTGTTTGTACAAATGGGTCTCAACAAATATCTATCACTTTTTGTAAATTGGGACAGAACTGAATAATGTTTAGTGATTCTGATAGGAAGGATTTCAGGCAGGATTGTATGGCGGCAGGTTTAAAGCCCAAAAATTAAAAACAAAACAAAATAATTTGGCTGCCTTTCTTAGAGTTCTAGAAGCAATTTGAATGAATATAACAGTGTAGAAAAGGGCTTCTACATTTCTGGAAAAAAAAGCATAGTTTTTACTATACTTTCAACCACTGTATGATGTAATAACCATATAATTATCCCGATTGGAAGTTAAAGTTTTCAGCATACAACAATGCTTTCTCTTTTCTGCCTGATTTTTTATTTATTTATGGAGAAATGGAGAAAAGTTTTATAAAAATGCATCAAACAAAATCATTCCAAAGTTCCAGAAGCAAACTAATTATCTATTCATTGCTTCAGACCAAGCCACCTTCATTTTCCAAGATTATGTGAAAGATTTTGAGACAAGGATCCTGACAAAAACCCAGTTCTCACTAGAAATAAATATCTAGTTTTATTTTTTTTTTCTCAACTGATAGATCATTTATGATCTTCAAGAAGGATCATCTGGATAGATTTTTAGTATACACTATCTATGTACACACTATCTATTCATACAAAAAATGAAACTTATTTTCTGAAATGATAAAGGTACTCTGAAAGACTTCCAGATAGCATTTGACATATGTTCTGAAACATGTCGCAGTCATCACTTACAGAAACTTCTAAAGTCCTGCAACCATTGTTGTGTCAATTTAACAATATAGCAGGCAGGGTTTCTATTCCCTCAAAGACAGCCGAATGGTGCTAGAAGATGCTAAAATGACTAATGAGAAGATACCTCAGAGACTAGACAGATTTCATGTGCACAAATTGTTGCAAAAGCTTAAAGTTTTCAAGACATTGTTTTAAAAAACCCCACTCTTCTGTGACTGAATAATTCTGTGAGAATTATTCTAGATTGAGAAAAATGACATTATTAGATTAGCCAAAGTTATGTATCACTGTGAGCCAGGAATTATGGTCTGTTCAACTGGACTGTGAATAATCAGCATGGAAGCAGTCAATTCATTCTTACTTGACTCCTGGCTTCACAAGAATTAGTAAATAAAAAGAGTTTGTTTGGAAACATGGCATTATGATTAAATCCACCCACACAAAATAATATTTGTGAAGGCAATACTGTACTCTGGTTTAATCCTGGTTTGTTATCTTGGATTATGAGGAGCATTTCAAAATGATGATGAATTAAAGGTGCTAAAAGTCATCTGATTTTAGTAGGATAAAGAAAATAATTAAACCAACAAACAATAAATACTTAAGAGAATACTTAACAGAATAACAGAATTGGAAGGATCTTGGAGGACTTCTAGTCCAACTCCCTGCTGAAGCAGGAGACCCTATACCATTCCAGAGAAGTGGCTGTCCACTCTCTTCTTTAAAAGGCTCTAGTGATGGAGCACCCACAACTTCTGAAGGCAAGCCATTCCAAACTTCCTCTTTTGTCTCAACTGACGGAAAGATTGTGCACATTATTATGCCAAGATTGTAGCATGAAATTATAAGGAAATATGGCTAATCTGAAGTGAATCTGCATCTCAAAATATGTATTCTTAAAATATAAGAAACAGGCCTAAATAGAAAAGGACCAAGTTCAACTGCCCAAACAAAGCAAAGCCTTCCAATGGATTACATAACCATTATTAGCGTACCGACTTGAACAAACTACTTGCTCAGCCAATTTTCACTAATAAATTCACAGGCTAAAAAGAGCCTATCTTTTGCCCTTAGGGACTTGGACTATTGCAGACAGTGATATGAAAGAGAGTTGGAGTCTTGTCTTTGAACAACTCCCTCCCTTCTTGACTTTCTTTCATGGCTATTGTCATGCACTGTCGTTTTCATTAAGGAACAGCTACTGATGTATAACAGCAATGACAAAATTGCTCTATCAGGACTAGCCTAGATATAAGACGACCTCTCTGCAGGGTTTTTACTATCTTAACAATGTTCTTAGGTTATTTAAGTTTTGAAAGAAGGACATGCTTCTCCCTCCCTCTCCACAACCCACCCCCAGTAAGAAAAGCAAAACTATATCATACCTAACTGGAACTGAGAAGACCAGCTGTATTCTGGAGAGCTATAAAGCCTGAAGATATTAATGCAGTTTAGTAATGATATTTCTTTTTCCTTGGCATTTATTTTCCCTCTGCTGTGCAGCTGCTCAGTTCATTACCTTTCTACATGCTCTCTTTGCTCACCTACTTCCAATTCCACAGCTCTCCGTCTTCCGCTTTTTGCCCTGAATTAATTTTCCTTAGAACTACCTGTTTACTCAAGCTATTTATTAGAGCCTGCTCTATAGGCTGTGGGCTTGGTTGCTATCCCAGGAATGTGCACGCATCTTAAATTATGAGGCGAGAAAGCAGTAGCCGTTTGCATTCATTTTTCTGCCCTTCCCTGCCTCCAACAAGGCAAATCTGGATTCTTAATTATTACAGGCCCAAAGAGAAAGGAACGGGCAAAAGGAATATATTAAAAGAAGGGGATTTATTCATTAGTTCCTTGTATCCCTCTCCATTTTTTGAACTTTCTTTTAAAAGCAAGAGTTAGAAGACTAAGACATATGGGAAAACCAGGCCAGAAAAAGCACCCAGTTATTTAATAACTTTTATGAACCAATTAATATGTCCAGCCTACGTCTCCTTGAAAATGTCTAATGGAACTTTGCTTTTATATATGATAATAGCAGGGAGAACTTTATACGCTCTAAAGTGGAAGATTTACAAAAACCTACAGGGGAGGATGGATGGTGATGCTGATGGTTGGTGGAGATGGCAAAAATGACAGCCTTGATGAAAGAAAAAACTGGAAAATCTAATTTCTGTTTGGGAAGAGTCCATTACTGGAAAATCAGTCAGAGCTGAAGATGTTTCTTGGATGAGAAGTTATGTCTTCTAGAAGAAAAAATGAAGAAAGTCCCGTTGCCTTTTGAAAAAGCATCTTTGGGACAATCTTTTCTGAGCCCTTTTCCTTTTCTATTTTTGTTTATCTTTTAACATTTCATTTTTTGAAAAATTGTCTATCTGTCTGTCTCCAACGTAAACAGTAGCATTGTAAACTGCTGTAACCATTATCCTAGAGTCCCTACAAAGCCAATGTCATAATGCTATATCATATATTAATACATTTTTGCAGCCATTCCTACTTAGCATATGCAACCCAAATTCTATTTTTGTTAGGAATTAATATGAATGAAATATGCACAAGCCATTCCCAGTGATCAAGACAAATGCACAAAAGGAATTAGAGGAGATATAGATTTTGCTATGGTCCCTTGCTTTCTATTCAACAAGATTTTAAAATGTTTGTGTCTTGGCTTATTTGATCATATGTAAGCTTTTCTTTTATTGCTTTTGAAGTTCATATATTCTTCTGTGTAAAATTCGGTTTGCAGTGATGCAACTTTGAATGAATTACATGTAGCAGATGGACAATATTCCTGGCAGTTGGAAATCATTTAACAGATTAAAAATCCTTGTGATGTAGAGTGAAAGTGACAGAATGTTCATGATTGTTATCCATATCAAGGAAAATATTGCAGTTTGTGTACTATGTGTGAATTCAAATTATTCACCACAAAGCTTTACCTATGGATAACATTTCATGAGGCCAAAATCATTTAGGAAATATTTTTGAAAATGCTCCAGCATTTTCAAATGTATTAATAAAAAATAAGGAGGAGGAGGAGGGAAGGAATGGTAGCCAATTTGACAAATAATTATTTCAACCAAGATTACAGATTTATTATTCTGTTGTTCTGAATTGTGTAATGCCCTTTACATCTATTACACTATGTTTTTATGAATGTCATGGAATCTTCTATGGCTGCTAGTCCTGGTGGTAATATTTTATCTCCTATTTGTACAGAGTGTAATCTAAGCAGTTAAACATTTAAAGAACTGGGAGAAAATTATGAAGGGGTGCTGTTCTTAATATGAAATGAAGTTGAGCATTCCTTCCCACAGATATCATAATGAGCAAAGAAATTATGCCTTGAGTACTTAGAAACACCTAAATAATGACTGCGGTTCATTTAAACAGTAATTAATTTTGCCATAATTGGTTAACAAAGGTAATATGATACAGGCACTTAATGTACAAGAGCAGGGTAAAGTAAATTACTTAAATGGATAATTATTCTATTGGGGATGTATATGATCTGACATGAAGGTCTTTTGAATTAGCTAAATACATTATAATGTGGTAAGCTCTGGGTATGACCAGGAATGCAAAAAGGATTAAGAAAGAGCATTTCCCAATAGAAACAGCTTTGGGCAAGTGAAGAGCTCCAAATTTGAATACAGGGCTCAAGCCTTCTGCTTGGTTAGCAGGGATACAACAGGGATACAACAGTGAAGAAAACACTTTTGCTTACTTCTTCCCTATAAAACCAGAGTTTTATGATGTAGGATCTCTCATTAGCATTAACATCCAAATGGAGAAATGTTAAATTATTGGAAAGCACTGCACTGACACAAATTAACCTAAATGGATAGAAGAGCAGAATTTAAATTATTTAAATTTAGGAACAAAACATTTTAACTGATTTTCTTACGTATTGAATTGTTCTGCAAATATTAAGTTGGTTGATGTCCCAGTGATGGTAGTCAGTCCTCCAATAGTGGATGAATAGGCAACACACAAGCACATTATTTTACATATCATGTGGTCTTTTTTGTTCCGGTATCGTCTTTCAGACTGGCTCAGTTCTGAATTCTGCTTAAAGAGAAGTCAAATAAATACAATCAACAATTTTCTTATTAGCCTATTAAAACCAACCTTCTTTAGTTAAATGGTTAAACTTTTTTTTTCTGAAAATTCTTCAGAGTTTAGGAATATCCAGAATGAAGTAACTCTTCCATTTTCCCTAACTGTTCTTTCAATAAGGAGGAAAAAAAAGATAGCTGAGGAACATGCAAAAATCAAGTCATATCCCTAAGTTCCTAGTTTCCCTTTTGATTACATTTAAGCCCTTCATTCTCGATATAAACTCTAAAAATGTTAAATTAGCCAAGAATAAAAGGTCTGATGATACTCAAAGGTCTTTGCACGGTGAAAAGTCTTTTATATAGTAGCTTTCACTACAAGCTCATAATTTTCATTTTCAAATAATAAGTTAATAATTCACAATTTGCCCAGTAATTCAAATCTCAGTATATTAACAGCTAGATGAAATGGTCAAACTAGAGTGGAAATGCCTCTCTGTTTCCTTTGAAAGTCATGGAAAATGCATTTTAATAGGAAAGTATTGCCAAATGTCTACTATCTCCATAGGGATTGATTAAATTACTTCCATATTATTAAAGAGAAAAAGACAATTCAAATCAAACAAGTTAAAGCATGCACAGCAACTAGAGGAAATTGGAAATTTGCCACTATAATCAGTACAATACATATGTCAAAATACAACATCCCGCTAGAAATAGGATAAATAGAAATTAATCATTAGGATAGAGTAAATTTCATACTCATCTCACATCCAAACCTTGAATTATACTGTATCTGACCTGCTACTGATTTTGTTTGCATTAATTATTTCTGTGATTTGAATTAGCTGATTAACTGGGAAAAAAAATCCTTGTCTTCATATAAAGATTCATGAATCACCATTTTACAGGTGTTTGAAGTAAATTTTGATACTCCTTCTTGCAAGAATAATAGAGCTGGGCCAGGATTAAATTGAAGATTAATTAGAGTTAGACAAAAGTGAATTAGAATTAGACAACAGAGTGAAATCATGGTATAGTAGCAGAGTATGAATAGCAGATAAGATGCTACTACAGGCAGCTGAAATAGGAACTGGAAAAGTCCATTAATAGCTGAAATGCAGAAGTGAAGAGGCAGACCTCAAAAACAAAAACAACAGGTTGAGGTAATTCCCCGTTAGGAGAATGAGCGCATACAGGGAGACGTATTTGAGAGGAGTGTTTGAATAATACACATACAGCACACAGATACACTGTACAGTAAATGTAGGTTTTTACTTCCAGAAACGTTAAGCAAAGTCCAAAATAGGCAGTCCAAAGTCATTCACAGGTAAAATCAGTCAGTTTTCATCCAGGGATAATCCAAATATCAAATTCCAGTGTCAAAAACAGTTCAGTATCAGACTTACATTAAATCCAGTAATATCAGTCAATTAGAAGAAATGGAGCAACGGCAATACTTTCCAACAGAAGAAAACAGAGATACACTTACACTCTCTTCTGAGACTAAGACTAAACAACCCAGGTTTCTGGCTCCATCTTATGGCCGTTTGGAAAACCACACCCAATTGCAGTTTTTGCAATCTCTTAAAGATATAGTACTAAAATGTTTATCCTGGTTTATATATTTCTAACCCAAATACCTGTTGGGTGACTTATATTCCTAACACAACAACAACAGCAATAACAACAACAACAACAACAACAACAACAACAACAACAACAACAAAACAGCAAATTATTGCATTTCAGGTATGTTGAACTATATACTACATCAACTCCAGGAAGTCTCTACTTCTCCGCTCCAAACCCTTAGTTTTTTTTAGTTAGCCATAACTTTTTGTAATTTTAATCTTTTTATATTTGTATTTTTTAAAATATGTTTTATATTGTAAGTCATTTGGAATCATCTGAAACTGTGAGGTGAGCAGCATATACATGTAATAAATAATAATAATGTTGGGAATATTGATACATAGAATGGTAATAACTTAATTAGGAATAAATAAAATGCCCCAACTTCTGAGGAAGCTGAATTTTTAAACATGACTTTGAGATGTTATCCTTTGTCCTAAAATGCATATTACTTTGGAATTGGAACAACAGGCCACCTGCATGTTTTAACTTATCTGGAAAATCAGGGAAACATTGTAGATGTCACACTGCTTCATATTAATAATTATATAATATTATTCAATTGACTATATAACTGAAACCATAACATGTTCATCTGACTGTAATAGCTATTATAATTTTTAAAACAAGTAGGATAAATTATTTTAAGTACCTTTTCATTTTCAATGTCACACACAGCTTGAGCAGTGCCATTGCTGTATCTGGAAAGAAATATTTGCAGTAGTAATAATTTTAGTGCTAATAAAAATGGTAAACCATATAAATATCTTCCTCTTTCTCTATTTATATTACCCTTCAATTTTAGTGGATTTCCAATCATCTGCTTCACACTCACTAATGTTTTCTGTGAAAACAAAAACAAAAAGTTCAAATGAAGGGGTTGTTTTTTTTTTTTTTGCTCAAGTGAAGTTAAAAATGGGTTGAAATGACTTACCTTCAAGTTCCAGGGCAGGATTAGTGGTTCCATTTGCATATGTCATATCCATTGCATCTACTTCAGCTTCTGCACTAGTGATTTGCTGAGCCACCGCCTCTACAATTGGCATTACCATAGCAGCGGTAGAAGTGTTGCTAAGCCACATCGATAGAAATGCACAGCTGATCATAAAACCAAGGGTGAGCCTGAAATAATAGTGAAAAGTCCATCTATGTCTGCTATTAACACTCAATATAAAGTAATTATAATAAGACTATTAAAAATAATTTGAGTTAGCACCTCCTGGATCCTCTACTAAAATTTATAATTCCTTTCTCTATGTAGCTGTAGTATGAACCGATTAACTTAGCACTTTGGCCATTCAAGCAGAACTGGATTCTAAGAAGATAACAGTAGAATGTCACCTCTTACTCATCTGTCTCAGTTTTGTTTACACTAACTACCAATGATTCTCTGATGGTTGAAGCAAGGGTTTCCCAAGTATGGCTGGATTTTCAGCAGACCAAACCATGGGTTTGCATGCAATGTGTTGACACAAGCTGCAGCCCTCCCTTTACCCATACAGTTTAGCATATGGACCTTTAGATGATGTACGGAAGTGCCCATAAAAAAATAAAAAACAATGAATAAGAGAACATGTAGAAATTGAATTATCAACTTATTCAGTTTTCAGACTTTGATGGTTTTTCACAAGTGTTCTACACATGAAATTTTCACACAATAGTGGAATCAATTATTATTCTTTTTATATCATGCATTGATAATATATGTGTTTCAATTGACTATACTTTCATATATATCAATATTAAAATAACCTAGAACCCAATTGTATCTGTAACAGAACTTGTTGATCTCAGTGAAATCATTTAATCATGGGAGAGAAGCAAGCAAGCATGATGAAATACCATCACTTTCTGGAGGCAAAAGAAGAGAAAAAAGTACTACAAAGATACTGCCCAATAAATTCAAGTCACGTGACTTTTTCAAGTTATGTGAGTTTTCTCAGAAAAAGATAACCAAAGCCCCTTTGAATAATATTTGCCAAATTTGAATGAGCAGATGAATTTAATGCATTGAACTGAATCAAGATGACTCTGAATCCATTTGAAGATTCATTGGGTTTTCCCACACTGAATAGCTGAATAGATTTGATAGAACTGACAGTTCATGAATGTACAATGCTCTAAATTTATACCATAATGTAAAAGTTATCACTAGTCTACATTCTGGTAAAGACAAGATTTACAAATAATAGATTCAGTAATTGGGATTCTACTTTTAAAGACTTTTGTTATAAAAATGTATTTGGAACCTGAAAGGTGCAGAGCTGACTTCGGTAATGATTTTCAACGCACTAGAGTTGCATCATCAATGCTTATGATGTTTGAAATGCACAAATGTGTAAAGAAGTATTACTGAAATACCTTAAATTATTGCAATTTTCCATATTTCAAATTAATTATTATTGACCTTTAAGGTCCCTACATTTTCCATATTAGGCCATTTCTTAACTTTTTTTCTGGTGCATCAAAACAGACAGACTTGTATAAAGGTATCACTTTTCTGTTTGGAAACAAATAGTAGAAATCAAATCTTGGACTTGGCAACATAAGTCAATTACCAGCCATCAACACACCAATCAACCAATAGGAAGCCACTACATAAATGTGATGCATAGAATAGCCCAAAGCACACATTCCAGTAGAGAGAAATTCCCTGATGATGGACACCAGAACAAGTCCAAAAACTCTGAAGAGTAAACCTCTGGTCCCAGTGACTGACCAACACTGGATCTTGCAACATTATCCTGGGACATGTATATTTGCCTTCATTTTTGAAAAATCAAATCATTCCATGTGTACAATTAGGAATTTGCTTCATCATCATCTGATGGTTGTGCTGTATGTTTCTACTGTTTGGGGGGGGGGGGGGTTGGAATCTTGCTTTGTATTTTATCTGATTTCAAGTGTGTATTGGGGATGGAACAAAAATGTTGAGTTATCACTTCAACCACATGATCAAAGCCCTATGTATCTGTGGTGGGATTCAATTTTTTTTACTACCAGTTCTGTGGGCGTGGCTTGGTGGGCTTGGCAGGGGAAGGATACTGTAAAGACTCCAGTCACAGGTGGTATTTGCTGGTTCTCTGAACTACTCAAAATTTCTGCTACCGGTTCTCCAGAACTAGTCAGAACCTGCTGAATACCTGCTGTGTATGTAAAAGGGGAGTAAGACTCTGATAGTGCATTTATAACATGACTCCTTGACTTTTTTTAAAACACACACAGAGAGACATACAGGAAATGATCCCATTCATTTTTGTGGAGTTTCCTTGGTACCAAATGGCTATGGCTTCTGCCTTAGTTTCTTGTATCCCAGTCCAACTAATTCTTTTCTATAAAGATTCTCCAAGAATGATATGAAATCTTCTAGTTAGATTGCCACGGCCTTCCAATAAGCTTTTACTGCCAACTCCTGAAGTTTCTTTTCCAACTGAGAAATTTATATCCTTGGAACACCTGCTCAGTTACTCACACAACTACAGTTGCTGATAGTATTGTATTTTTGTTTGATATAGGAAAGAGTCTAGCATAAGAATTTTCAGCAATGTGCCAAAATGAAAATGCATCAAATCATATTCTACATGGAACAGCAGGCACTGACTCGCCTTTTCATTGGGATAACCTTGAACAATTTTGTACAATTGCTCCCATAATACAATGCAAATGAAAGGCAATTCTGGGACAAATTCAATCTGGGATATTGCCCCATTTTTAATACAATTAATGATTACTGTGTATGAATACACTGTGTTTTAATTTACACCAAGCAGCACTAGCCTAAGTAATTGTTAAAGACTATAAAGATCTTTGAAATCTGTGAGGATGAAAATTACTTCAATCATTGTAATGAGTAATGAGTAGACTTATTTAAACTTATGAAAAATTATTTTAACAGTTTTTCCTAATGTTAGGAAAATGCTTGCATGACTCCATGTTTTTTCCTGAACACCATCACTCTGCTAAACAAATAATTCCCTCAACACTGTCCAACTATTTACAAAGTCTGCACTACTATTACTATTAATCTTCTCATCACTCCTTATCGTCCATCCCCTCCCACTTGTGACTGTACGACTGTACGACTGTAACTTTGTCACTTGTATCCTTACGATTTATATTGACTGTTTCCTAGTATGATTTGATTGCTTATTGTACCCTACGACTATTAAGTGTTGTACCTTATGATTTTGACTCTTGACAAATGTATTTTCTTTTATGTACACTGAGAGCATTTGCACCAAGACAAATTCCTTGTGTGTCCAGTCATACTTGGGCAATAAAGAATTCTAATTCTAATTAACAAAAAAGAAAGAAAGAAATCCCAATACTCTTATCAGTCAGGATGTAATCAAAGGATCGTTATAGTAAGATAGCAATAGCACTTAGACTTATATATCACTTTATAGCCCTCTCTAAGCAGTTTACAGAGTCAGCATATTGCCCCCAACAATTTGGGTCCTCATTTTACCCATCTCGGAAAGATGGAAGGCTGAATCAACCTTGAGCCTGGTGAGATTTGAATTGCAGTCAGCTGGCAGTCAGCAGAAGTGGCCTGCAGTACTGCGCCACCGTGGCTCAGTGATAAAACAAATTTCTCCCGAAATCTTATTCTAACAATGCAACAGCAGCAACTTTTTGTTTTTGTTGTTTTGTTTTGCTTTTTCAGATGTACGCTAAATCATGCAGTAAGAACAGCCAGCTCATCCTAGGCAATTAATTTCACAAAGTTGAATTGACTCAAGCTGTAAGTATTGTGAAGTCAACTGAACCTCCCTGATTTGTAACTCTGGCTTGCAGGTATTTTTAATTTAATGATTGGTATTTAGGGCAGCTTTTTGCAAGCAAAGAAGCTTTTTGTATTTTTGTACAGGTAATCCTTGACTTACAACAGTTCATTTAGTGACCATTCAAAGTTACAATGGCGCTGAAAAAAGTGACATATGACCATTTTCCACACTTATGACTGTTGCAGCATCGCCACAGTCATGAGAGACCAGGCGAGAAGCACCCCTCGATGTGAGTGATGTTGAGTTGGCGATGCCCAGCCAGTCACATGACCACCAAGTCACGTCCACCCAGTCACATGACCACCAAGCCTTACCCGTCAACTAAGCCATGCCCACAGAGCTGGTTGTTAAATAATTTGAATTCCACCCTGGTAAAGAGTCTCCTGCTTAAGCAGTGGGTTGGATTAGAAGACCTCTAAGGTCCCTTTCAACTCCATTATGTTATGCTGTTATTATTATTAAAATATTTTGTCCCAGTCCCTTTTACAGCATAGCCCCTGGAATACTGTTCAAAGTTGTGTTTGGATCTCATACCTACAAAGGTTGGGCACTCCTTATATAAATAGGAAGTCTGGCACACAGAAGGTTTTACATAAACACTTCTCTAATATGTTAATGTACTAACATAAACCTGGCCAATTTTTAATTTCAAGCATGCAAAACAAAAATAATCCTAAACAAGTAGGGTAAAATAATTATTGGGTTATCTTATAAATAATAAGTATTTATAAATTATAAAATATATACATTATATTAAAATTAATTTTAGGAAACAGCCTTCAGGGTCCCCCACTCCCATTTCTGACCACATGTATCGTATATTTTAAATTACTAATCATCATTTGAGGAGCTTTGAATTAAAACAAAAAGCTATATATACTATTGATATACTATTAGCTTAAAAAAAAGAGGATAATATACATCAATTATATTATATGTTTGTAAACAACTTTAAATAGTGGTTTGTGGGGTTTTTTTTTTTTTTTGCAGTATGAAACAACAGAGCTATGTTGCACATTTTAAACTGAGTATGGGTTCTCAGTTACTGTTAAATTATTGCTAACACCTTGTTAGGTGATTAAGTATCTTTTCATCATCTCCGTGACAACCACCAAATATTTCCAAGAGACTTTGCAGGAGGCCTATAACTACTATCAACTGCTATCCACTGATTTCATACCAAAGCTTAGCATTTTATGATTTTGTGAAAATCCCAACAGTAAAAACAGACAGTATTTGCTTCCTGAGGGCTGTAGCTGGCTTTCTGATTGATACAGGTGCCATTCCTCTGTTGGCTGATAAACTAAGAGAACTCTTTTGTTCTTCCACTGTATG